GAGGCTTAACTGATGGAGCCACCCAGGTGCCTCTGTATATGTGCTTTTAATATGAAGACTCACTTGTATCTGCTTTCAATTCTGGGAAATACTCTGGTATCCTTATCTTTTTGAATACTGTTTCTCTTGAGATTCCCTCCATTCTTTGCCTCACCAGCGGGAGACTCTCCATCTTTCCTCTATGTCTCTTAACTCACTCATGTTTCATTCCCTGTATCTCTTTATCTTTGTGTTATATCCCAGGTTGAAATCATTGGTATTTTCTTTCAACTCAGTCCCTCTTTAACTGTGCCCAGTCAGGAGTTTATTCCATATACTTCTTTGTTGTTACTTTAATAAGTGCATTTTATATTTCCAGGATTTTTCATTGGTTCTCTTCTAAATCCACCCCTTAATTCTCATCTGTTTGGTTTTCTTTCACTATTTCCAGAAATTTACCAGGGATCTTATTCCTTCATCTCTTTGAAGATTTTGAAGATATTTATTTAAGGTTAATTTTCAGATTGCTTTACTATATTTTGCTGGAAGTGCATCCATCTCCTGATTATTGTCTTAGTACTACCTATATGTGTTTGGGAATTTTAATTTGCTAGCTCTTCTTGAATAGGAAGTTTCTCTCTCTCTCTCTCTCTCTCTCTCTCTCTCTCTCTCTCTCTCTCTCTCTCCCGCCCTTCCTCTCCCACCCCTCTCCATTTCTACAGTTTTTGCCACCATCCTCCATCCCCGTCCGAGCAGAGAGCTCCACTCTAGAACTAGGTCTTACCCTGGCAGCTCAGGGTTCCTATCACTTATAAACACTAGGGATATCATAAAGGTAGTCATGTCATGGCCAGGTCCTACTCGCACTGTTATCTCTACTCCTCCACCACCCCAGAAACACAACTTTAAACAAGCCACAGATCCAGGCAGCTTTGTTCAGTTTCCTTTCATAGTTAGGACAATCCCACCCCAGATCCTCATTTCCAGCAGTGAGACTTCCTCTGGTTCCCATCCAGGCATGAAGTTCCTTTGGTCTCCATACTCGCAAGCAGTGTTGCCCATTTTTTTATGACATCTTTATACTTTTAAAATAATAGTATGTGTATAGCACAGGGGTAGGTGGATGAGACTCTTCCCCACCCATAAATGATATAGCTGGGGGCTCTGACCACCCCAGGCCCTTCCAGCTACCCTGAAGCCTGATAATAATCAGTATTTCACACCCTGGTAAACTTATTCACAACATGTTCTGTGGGAAGTACCACCCTAAAAGAATCAACAACCTGTGCATGCTGCCTACTTCCATACTTTGGTTCTGCTTTTAGTCTACCAGCATGTTTATCTTGTTACTAAAGTACAAGTATGACAGTAACATATTTTATTTATCACTGCTGTGCATTTGGAACAAAATACAGAATTTAAAGACTGAATTTGTTTTTTTATTTTTTTATTTTTTTATTTTTTATTTTTATTTTATTATTTTTATTTTTTATAATAAATTTATTTTTTATTGGTGTTCAATTTGCCAACATACAGAATAACACCCAGTGCTCATCCCATCAAGTGCCTCCCTCAGTGCCTGTCACCCATTCACCCCCACCCCCTGCCCTCCTCCCCTTCCACCACCCCTAGTTCATTTCCCAGAGTTAGGGGTCTTCATGTTCTGTCTCCCTTTCTGATATTTCCTACCCATTTCTTCTCCCTTCCCTTCTATTCCCTTTCATTATTATTTATATTCCCCAAATGAATGAGACCATATAATGTTTGTCCTTCTCCGATTGACTCATTTCACTCAGCATAATACCCTCCAGTTCCATCCATACCAAATGGTGGGTATTTGTTATTTCTAATGGCTGAGTAATATTCCATTGTATACATAAACCACATCTTCTTTATCCATTCATCTTTTGATGGACACCTGAGGCTCCTTCCACAGTTTGGCTATTGTGGACATTGCTGCTAGAAACATCGGGGTCCTGGCGTTTTATTGCATCTGCATCTTTGGGGTAAATCCCCAGCAGTGCAATTGCTGGGTCCTAGGGCAGATCTGTTTTTAACTCTTTGAGGAACCTCCACATGGTTTTCCAGAGTGGCTGCACCAGTTCACATTCCCACCAACAGTGTAAGAGGGTTCCCCTTTTCTCTGCATCCTCTCCAACATTTGTGGTTTCCTGCCTTGTTAATTTTCCCCATTCTCACTGGTGTGAGGTAGGATCTCATTGTGGTTTTGATTTGTATTTTCCTGATGGCAAGTGATGCGGAGCATTTTCTCATGTGCTTCTTGGCCATGTCTATGTCTTCTTCTGTGAGATTTCTGTTCATGTCTTCTGCCCATTTCATGATTGGATTGTTTGTTTCTTTGGTGTTGAGTTTAATAAGTTCTTTATAGATCTTGGAAACTAGCCCTTTATCTGATACGTCATTTGCAAATATCTTCTCCCATTCTGTAGGTTGTCTTTGAGTTTTGTTGACTGTATCCTTTGCTGTGCAAAAGCTTCTTATCTTGATGAAGTCCCAAGACTGTTGCCTGTGTTCTCCTCTAGGATTTTGATGGAATCTTGTCTCACATTTAGATCTTTCATCCATTTTGAGTTTATCTTTGTGTATGGTGAAAGAGAGTGGTCTAGTTTCATTCTTCTGCATTTTGACAAGTGGATGTCCAATTTTCCCAGCACCATTTATGGAAGAGACTGTCTTTCTTCCAGTGGATAGTCTTTCCTCCTTTATCGAGTATTAGTTGACCATAAAGTTGAGGGTCCACTTCTGGATTCTCTATTCTGTTCCATTGATCTATGTGTCTGTTTTTGTGCCAGTCACACTGTCTTGATGACCACAGCTTTGTAGTACAACCTGAAATCTGGCATTGTGATGCCCCCAGCTATGGTTTTCTTTTTTAAAATTCCCCTGGCTATTCAGGGTCTTTTCTGATTCCACACAAATCTTAAAATAATTTGTTCTAACTCTCTGAAGAAAGTCCATGGTATTTTGATAGGGATTGCATTAAATGTGTAAATTGCCCTGGGTAACATTGACATTTTCACAATATTAATTCTGCCAATCCATGAGCATGGAATATTTTAACATCTCTTTGTTAAAGACTGAATTTGAAGGACCATCATAATTGAAGTCCATACTGTTCCCTGTGTTTCAGAATGCCGTCTTCTCAACCTCGCTGCATTACTTTTCCCTACTCCTTAAATTTTCAGTTTAGATGTCACTTAATCAAGGCCGCTCTTCATGACTACACTCTCACCCCCAACCATGGAGTCAGATGCTCTCACAGAACCTGATTTTACATGCTATTGTATTGTACTACTACTGCATATTTACCTTAGATGGTAATCTCCCTGAGGGCATGAACTGCCTTTTTCATTTCTGTATGGCAAGTTCTAGCCTGTGTCTCCAGTAAGTATGAATCCAATGAATATTTTAATATCACCTGTAATAACAGCATAGGGAGTATAATGTAACAGTGAAGAGCTAGGGCTCTGAAGAGAGATCCTTAGGTTTTAATGCCGGTTCTACCACTTTCTGTATGATTTAGGAAGGCTGCTTAGCCTCTCTAAGCTTTAATTTCCTCATTTGTAACATTATGTCACAATTCACCTCCTGACTCTGTTCATTACTCACTGTGTAACCCTAGCCAATCCTGGGTGTCTCTTGGTCTCAGTGCCTGCACTAAGCAATATCTTAGTTAATTTAGACAACATGTATAAAGTCCCTAGCACTTTGACTCCTATAAGGATAACACAATAGCTCAGCCTTGGACAGAACTGCTGACTCAACCCTTTTCTGAACCTAGGTGGTTGAAAAGGCTTTTTCTATTGCCAGGAATAGTAGAGATTATCTTTATATTTACAATTTAATCAGACAAAGTAGAGGGCAATGTCAGTAAGAACTTGAAAGAATAATTTATTTTTTTTTAAGATTTTATTTGAGAGAGGGAGAGAGTGAGTGAATAGAGGGAGCGGGAGAGGGAGAGAAAGAGACAGAATCTCAAGCAGACTGCAGAGCCTGATGTGGGGCTCGATCTCATGACCCTGAGATCAAGACCTAAGCCAAAATCAACAGTCGCTTAACCAATTGAGCCACCCAGGTACCCTCAAATAGTAATTTAAAATACAAATTTAATGCACCTTAAGAAGAAAAAACTAACTGACCACAGACTGGACCATTCTAAGAGAAGAGAAAGTCTCCATGAGAATTCATTTCCAAAACGAAGGCATGTACTACATTTTGCTGTGTCTCAAATCTTATTGATCAAGAGAGCACAGAAGACTAGAAGACGATGGCTATCAGATAAGACATTCAAGTATAGAAGAATCAATGCGGCAAAGCACTTTAAAGTCCGAGTTATGCTATACAGGCAAAGATTCTACTTTCAAGTGCTATATTGTTAATATAATTATTTAATCACGAATAGAGATTAGTAACTGAGAAAAAAACTGTGCCACTGACCAATAAAAAAGAAAACTGTAATTCAGACCAAAAGGAAATAATGCAAGAACCTTAGCATTAAACAGACCAGGAGTCAAATCTTGATGCTGCCATCTCCCATTGGTGTGACCTTTAGCAAATATCAATCCTCTGATTCTGAATTTCCTCCTTTACAGAATCAGGATCATAATGCTTATCTCACAGAGACCAGGAGAGTTAAACAAGAAATTGGGTATGCAGAGGTCAGCATTAGTACTCAACTCATGGTAGGTGTTCAACAAATATTAGTTCCCTCCTATGGTCTCCCGTGCAACTTTCACCAGCAAGCATCACAAAAGGGTTTTGAAACTGCTAAAATATATTTCCTCGTGTCTGGATTCACAAACTTATCAGTCTACTTTGTAAGCAGATTCTGAAATACGCCTGAGCTACACAGGCCCAAAATCTGGTAAGCAACCTGACCTGCATCTGTGTGGGCATCTGGTTCCCAGACCAATGCCTAGAAAGACTAACTGGGCCCAAAATGCAACAGGGGTGGCCAGAAGAAGCCAGAAACTAGAGCAGCCAAAAAGAGGAAGGATTACTTGAGTTTCGGCTCCCGTCCTTCACTTGTGTACTGCCAGCAGATGAGCCCAATCAAGTCCTGCACCCTGGCGCTGGCCATTGTCACCACAGTCATTGGCAGCAGCCTGTCCTGGCTTGAGTGCAGGGGGAGGTAGACGTCGATCTTCTTGGTTGCTGTCGTGCCTACATGACCCTGTGGACAAAACACACACATGAGGGTAAAGCATTCAGTCATGGTCATGCAGATCCCAATGGGCCCCAATGACTGCTCACCAGCCATTTCTCATCCTCCAGCAGAGATCTCTTTAAGAGCTTGAAATGGTCCCAGAGTTTCTTCTGCACTGTCTAGTTTTAAGGTCTTTTTCCCCTTTAATTTTCATTTTCTAATGGTCTAATAGATCCAGCTCTGCCTGTAGTAAGGTAAATGACCAAATGAGCACTACAACCAAAATAAACAAAATAAGAGTAGTAAACAGACCTGATATTTGGTGTCAGGTGATATGCTTTGCTACTTATTCACTGTGGCCTTAGACAAGTCACCATTAGACCCACACATTAGCTGCCCTCCCTGAAAATTGCCGTATCACTCTTTGAGACTTTGGGATAAGCTGCATGGAAAGCTATCACACTTCATGAGGAAGCATTTAGGCCTGCAGCACTGGAACCAAGGGTTTGCCTTCTCAGGGACTAGGGGGGTTAATTCCCCTATGCAGTCCACCTGTTTATTTCAGCCATCTGCACTGAAGTTCAAGGGTTCCTCATCTTTTATTACTGTCCTAACCACACTGTTCTCTACATCCTCAATCCCTTCCACATACTCACCCCTTCTCTCTCCTGAAACTTCCATGCCTTCTGAAACTCCTGTACTAATCAACAAACTTCCATAAATTGCTTCTTTTAAAAAAACCCTCCTTCCACCTCTTTGTCTTAACTGACACATGCTAGTCATTGAAGATACTGTTTCCTTTGCTGCCCAGAAGACTGTTCTGCATTTTTCTTTTTAATCCCTAAGTCCTCAAGGATAGGAGGTTGGATAGGTATTCTTGTCCCCCTACTTCCAAACTATTACTTCCCTTTCTTGCAAAAATCCTTGTTGCTTTGAGACCCAAGCCCTCCAACTATACTAACCTCTCCCTCTACTTTTTTGTTTCTGTTACCCACCAATCTTCTAGTCATGTTTCTCCCTCACTGAGTCTTCTTTCCACTCCAACACCTATCATCATTCTTGGAACTCCATCTAAAGGAACAATCCATATAATAGCCAAGTGCCTCAATCCCTAGACCATGTCATCCCACGTCTTTTTATCCACTCCTTTTTTTTTTAAGATTTTATTTATTTATTCATGAGAGACATAAAGAGAGAGGCAGAGACACAGGCAGAGGGAGAAGTAGGCTCCATGCAGGGAGCCAGACGTGGGACTCGATCCCGGGTCTCCAGGATCACACCCTGGGCTAAAGGCGGCGCTAAACTGCTGAGCCACTTGGTCTGCCCTCCACTCCACCTTTAATCACTTATTGCAGTGGGTACACCAGGATCTGTACTAGCTCCAAAATCTCAAATTAGAACATCTATTCACTGATTATATTTTAATATATTTTCATCTCACCTGTTCAAGTAGTTCCCCCAAATTCTTCAACTTACAATTTACTGACTCATCACTATAAATGATGTCACCTATATTTCCCAACACCACACCCTCCAGATTACATGATCCACCATTGTAATCTATCTTTCAAAAATACAGTTTTAATACTCTCTTCCTCCATGGGACTCAACTGGCAGAATGCCAGCCTCGGATGAACCCAACCCTCTGCACTCCCCAGCGAAACATTACTGGAAAAAAATCATGTAACTGCACAGATTGAATTGACTTTAAATTCATGATGATAAATCTCAAAACACTCAGCATTGTATAGCAAACCTATTACATCCCGATTCAACTTGCGCCCCATGCAAGACCATCACTGCATACTTCGGCTTCTCTCCTCAAACTTCTCATGAGCCCACCTTGACCTCAGCTCCTATCCTTTGTTCTTGTACTGCCAAAGGAACAAGAAATATTCTTATTCTTCATTAAGAAAATAAGAGCTTTCAGAAAGGAATTCTCTTATTCTCCCATAATTAAATTCACAGACTTACTCAGATTTAACCACACATACCCCCGACACTGGAGAGTCACACATCTCATTAAAGGTTAATCTCTCTATTCATGTTCTGTGTCCCTTTGGCTCTCACTTTCACAAGAACTTTACTCCTTCATTTACTTTACTCTTCTTCTACATTATCAACCTCTCCCTTTCTTGGCTTCTATGACATACATTGTTAGTTTTTGTAAATCCTCTTTGGTCTCTCAGTCTCCTTTGCAGATTTCTTTTTTTTTTTTAATTTTTATTTATTTATTTATGATAGTCACAGAGAGAGAGAGAGAGGCAGAGACACAGGCAGAGGGAGAAGCAGGCTCCATGCACCGGGAGCCCGATATGGGATTCGATCCCGGGTCTCCAGGATCGCGCCCTGGGCCAAAGGCAGGCGCCAAACCACTGCGCCACCCAGGGATCCCTCCTTTGCAGATTTCTTTACCTCTTCAGTCTCTGTTAGCATTCCTTGCCCTCTAGATTGGGCTCTCTTTTGTCTTTCTGTGTATTTCTTCCATGGGTGATCTCACAGTCCCAAAGCTATAGTACAATCTATATCCTGCTGACACCCAAATCTTATCTCCATCCCAAACTTCTCTCTTGAATTCCAAATTCATACATCAAACTGTTTACACTGTTTACACAGTAGGCAGAAAAGTGTCACAGAGGAGTTAAAACTTAAGTTCAAATCTAAATTTTTCACTATCCCTAACTCTGTCCCACCCCAAATAACAACACTCTCCTTCATTTCAGTGTTACCACTACTAACCCCATTGCTGAAATCAGTAGTCTTGATTCTTCTTTCTTCCTCCTTCCTTCTACCTACTCCCTTAGTAAGTTCTAGTGTCTACTACAAAAATATATTTCAATAGAGGAAAAAACAGTCTTTTCAGCAAATGGGACAACTGGATAGCCACACACAAAAGAATGAACTTACTTCACATCATATACGAATATTAATTCAAAATGGATCAATGACTTAACTTTAAGGCTAAAACTAGAAAACTTTTAGAAGAAAACATGCATGTAACTTCTTCATGACCTTGGATTAGGCAATGATTTCTTTAACAAGACACTAAAAGAAATGAAATAAACTGGACTTTATAAAAATTAAAAACTTTTGGGCAGCCCCGGTGGCGCAGTGGTTTAGCACCGCCTGCAGCCTGGGGTGTGATCCTGGAGACCCGAGATCGAGTCCCACGTCGGGCTCCCTACATGGAGCCTGCTTCTCTCTCTGCCTGTGTCTCTGTCTCTCTTTCGCTCTCTCTGAATAAATAAATAAACAAATCTTTAAAAAAAATTAAAAACTTTTGTGCCTCAAAGGATACTATCAAGAAAGTAAAAAGACAACCCACAGAATGGGAGAAAATATTTGCCAATCATGTATCTGACAAAAATTTAGTACCTATAATATATAATTCTTACGACTCAACAATAACAAAAAAAAGACAATCCAATCTTTAAATATTTATTTATTTATTTATTTGAGAGCGAGAGCGAGAGAGAGAGAGAGCAAGCAGGGGAAGGGGCAAAGAGAGAGGGAAGAGAGAACCCCAAGCAGACTCCCCACTAAGCCTCATGAGGAGCTCAATCTCATGACCTGAGCCAAAATGAAAAATCAGGTACTTAACTGACTGAGTACCCAGGCAGCCCATCCAATCTTTAAAAGGGCAAAGAACCTGAATAAACATTTCTCTAAAGAAAATATCCAAATGGCCAATAAATACATGAAAAAATGTTCAACATCATTATTCATTAAAGAAATGCAAATACAAATCACAATGAGATACCACTTCACACTCACTAGGATGGTAATAATTTTTTTTTTTTTAAGTAGGAGAAATAGGAAAGATTAGCAAGGATATGGAGAAGTTCGAACTCTCCTACATCGTTAGTGGGGATGTAAAACAATGCAGTCATCCTGGAAAAATAGTTTGTCAGTTTCTCAAAACTTAAACATATAGTTACTATATGACTTAGCAATGCCATTCCTAGGTGTACTTAAGAGAACTGAAAACATATGTTCACATAAAAACGTATACGTAAAAAAAAAAGTATACGTAAGTGTACATATAAGAGCATTATTCATAATAACCAAAGAATGAAAACAATCCAGATGCCCATGAACTGATAAACTGACAAAATGTATACAATGGAATATTACTCAGCCATTAAAAGGTATGAAGTATTGACACATGCTATAACATGAATAAAGCTTGAAAGCATATGCTAAGAGAAAAGAAGCCAGGTATAAAAGAAGGAAGTCATTTCATAAAAGTGAACCCACTAATATGAAATGTCCAGAATAGGCAAATCAATAGAAACAAAAAGATTAGTGGTTGTCAGGATATGGGGTGGGAGGGCATGGGGAATTGAGAAGTATGAAGTTTCTTTTTGGGGTGATGGAATTGTTCTGGAATTAGTGGTGATAGCTGTATAACATTGTGAATATACTGAAAACCACAAAATTATACAGCTGAAAAACATTAAAATAGCAAATTCTATGTAATGAGTTTTTTAAAAATATTTTATTTATTTATTCATGAGAGACACAGAGAGAGACGCAGAAACATAGGCAGAGAGGATCGTCCTAGGACTCTAGATCATGACCTGAGCTGAAGGCAGACACTCAAGCACTGAGCCCCCCAGGTACCCCTGTAAGTGAGTTTTAATTCAATTTTAAACATTGAAAAATATGTATTTCAAAACCATTCCACTTCTATCTCCTCTGCCATCAAAATACCACGATGTTTCCCCTGGACTGTTCTAATAGGGCACCTCCTGTGCCCTTGCCTACTTATATTTGTTCTTGACACACAAGCTAGATTTTTTTTTAACTCAAATTTGGTATTATATCTCTGCTTAAATTCAACAAATGGCTCCCATGTGAATTTTACTGTGAATAAAATCAAAATCTCCTGCAATGTCCAGCAAAGCAATGCATGATCTGACCCCTGCTTAACTCTCCCAACAACATTTATTGCTGCTCCTTGGCCTGCTTATCATACTTCAGCTATGCTGGCCTTCTAGAAGTGCCCTGGATCTGTATGTGTGTGT